ACAAGGAAAATTCTGTTTAGAAACCTAGAGTACTCAACCACTAGGGCAATAAGGCCTCTCCTCCAACCCTACTCCTCCACTCCAGCATACACACACAGAAATCAAACAGGCATTGTTTTGTTCTTTTAAAGTATAAAGAGAGCATAACTTTTTTTCTGATGAGTATGGTGACAGATTATTTTACAAAATGGCATTTGTCTGTAATGGTCAAATCTCATGGTATTTGCTGAAAGGCGTGCTAAAGCTTCTACTGGCAGTCCTGGATTAATTTTTTGATAAGAATAGCAACAGCTGGGACTGTTCTTTTTCTGAGATTGTGTGCTTGCATAGTTTAGGATTGCAGGGAAGGTAGGAGCTAGCAAGGTACAAAATCCTTTAAACAGATGTAATAGAAACAAGCCTGTAACATGCTTTTATGTGGACTTAAGGGGAGAGCAGCTCTTCAGTGTAGACAGGACTGAACTCTTTACAACTTGTTCAGCATAGATGCTGATTCTGAGGTAGATGAACAATACACAAAAAATATATATGAAAAATGTGGGAGTTTCGAAATAGCTTCAAAAGCCTTTCACTAGTTTCAGTTTTCAGTTAAATTAGCATTAAAACCACAGTACAGTTAAATTATTCCAGATATTCTGGACTAAAAAAATACTTCTAAAATTATTTCTTCCCTAAGAACAGGCTCACAGAAAGTAAAAACTGAAAGCCACAAGTCCTCTGCTCATACTAGAGAATGTTTTTTAACCTGTCCTTGTGCTTTTTGTAGATATTTAGAAAGATTAACTTGGTTCTGTATTGATGACCATTTATAATAAAACACATCAAGCATTCTTCAGATTTATTGCATCTTTTTAGAATGATGTGACAGATAACCAAGTAAAATCAGTGGAAAAAACACAGAGCTTTTACTTAAAAGATTTTTGTTCTGGTCATAATTCTGTGTGTTCTGAATTTCAGTTAAAAAATACATAAGTTCAGTTGCATTTGAAATACGAATTTAGTTGTCTCCCTTTCTAGTCAAGTTCACTTAAGAAACCATGAATGAAGAAGCAACTGCTTTGTTAGCATATAAGTGCCATTGACTTCAGTTTTTTACTTTGTTTTTAATGACTATAAATCTGAGGAGTCAGTGTGCACCTGTAGCTCTACCAAATGTATTGTAAGGGTAAACACATTGTACTTACATTTTGGAGGAGTTTGGATTAAGCATGATGAGAAATCTGTCCAAAACTGGCACACAGAATACACCTATTTACATTCTTACAGTGGAATACTTTTTATTGAGTAGCAGAGCCAAATTCCATCATAACTACCACAAGAGGGTCAATACTGGCTTAATACATCGCATTCCTTCACAGTCCAAGGTCACAGATGACTTTACTGTGTGATGTGAGTCCTGAAGAGACAGGTAAGGGCTTGGCCAATTCAGACTTAAGAGCATATAACTATATAAAGGAAGTTTTAGACTGTAAAATTATTGCAAATTCACCAGGGCATAATCTAGCTTGTTTTTACAGCTCTTCACAAGGTATCTGTACAGGTTTTCTAAAGTCTTCCCATTTCAGAGAGGTGATGGTAAAGATACCTGCCACCTGTTTGCAGGGAAGTGAGACTATAAGCTGAGTTGAGAAGAGTTGATGGTTTGTGTGTAAGGGTTAGTGCTATGACATACTTTTAGAAAAACTGACAGCTTTGTGTATTAAGAGGTCTGCTCTATATGAATAACTTCAACTATTTGATTGTATGATTAAATTAAAATTAAAGTATATAATGTATGCCCCCAACTGATTTTCCAGTATTTTTATTAAAAAAAAAAAAATGCAGAGCATGTGTGTATATATGACAGTGTGTTTAGCATGAATGATAAAGGAACAGTCTAGTAAGTTGGTATAGTATATATTTTACACAAATGGACTGTTTCTTAACTTTTCTAATGTTTCTGTATTATGTCTAAAAGTATATCTATGGTTGCTTATTGACAACTTGATCCTACTTCTGAAGTCTAAATCAGTTTGTTCTGTGCAATATTTTCAAGATAATGTCAGCAGAGACATCATCTACTTTTTAAGACTATGCTTTCCACAGCCGGAAATTGTTCTCTTTTGAAGTGTAATACGTGGATGAATGTCTTTCATCACTTCTCCCTTTGTGTGATATTTTCAATAAAGTGTTTAATCTAAACATATGCTCAAACCCATGCAAACTCTTTTATATGTATTTTAAATATATGTAATTACATATAAAACTATCCCAAAGGTTCATCACTGTATCAATAATTTAAACCTGGCCTGGCTTACAGAGGTAGTTTTAAAGTGTCCAAAATAAAAGATGGGATTGCTTTGTGTAAGATGCATTTGAAAGCCATTTGTAGTTATGCTAAAATATATCTATGTCTACATAAAGCCTCAGAGGAGTTAACATAGAACCACAGAATATTCTGAACTGGAAGGGACCCACATCAAGTCTAACTCTTAAGTTGATGGCCCATACGGGGCTCAAACTCACAACCTTGGTGCAGTTATAGCACCATGCTCAAACATACTGAGCCAATAGTGTGAACTGGAGGGGACTGATCACTGTGGTGGAGATCTAGTCCAATTCCCCTCTGCTACAAGCAGGGATGTCCAACCCAAATCATTCAATGATTCTGATTTCAGCTCTATCAGATTGCTCAGAGCCAAGCCCAAAACTGACCTGAAATTTTTCCAGGGATGGGCACCTCTCTGGGCTACCTGTGCCAGTATTTTGCCACCCTCATTGTAAAAAATTTCTTCCTTATATCTGGTCCAAATCAACCTTTTTAGTTTTAACCCTTAACCCTTGTCCTGTCGCTACAGGCCCCTACAGAAAAGTTTGTCCCCATCTTTCTTAGAAGCCTCCTTTAAGTACTGAAAGGCTGCAGGAAGCTCTCCCCTCAGCCTTCTGCAGGCTGAACAGCCCCAGCCCTTTGAGCCTTTCTTCAAAGATTATTTTGGACACTAGTGGAACACCAGAGGTCAGACCTATTATGTTAATCTGCTTTTCAATTTCAGCAACATTGAAAGAAAGCAGTTGATGATGCTGCTGTATGAGCTCGACCTAGAGAATTCTCCTACTTCAATACAGTGGCAGCAGCTTTGCTGATTGATTCTCTGATGAATAAGACTATCTATGGTATTTTTCATGAACCCAATAAGGAACATGGCAACATACTTAATTTAGATCTAGTCTCGTTACTTCTGGTTGGTTAGACTCCTCCACAGGAAACGTGAGATTTTTCCAGACTAAGAACGTGGACACTTCACAAATAGTGGACCCATTTTCTACATCCAGACAAAATGCACAAGTTTAGGAACCGCTTCTTTGTAAAACCCTTTTTAAAGGCATTACGATGGAATGCGGTAAGCGAGCTGGTGTTAGCTTACCCCTGCTGCTGTGCAGAAGAGGACTTTTTCATGCACTTGTACCTGGGCGCTTACAGGTGCCGTGAAAAGGCGATGCCGATGTTCGCGCTCCTCCGTCGCTCTCCGCCCGTTAGCGCGGCGAGGGGAAGGGGCG